TGATTTTTAGTGGGTTTGAATGTAGGGTAATGCTGGGAGTACATAGGGAGGAACATAGCCGTGTCCATAATGATGAGGTGGCGAGATTTTGAAATTGAATTTCTCGTGACTGAAAAGAGGACAAAACATATTTCTTCTCTTTCCAAAAATGACCCTCAATAATTAAGCAACACCCAGCATCCTCTTTTCATTCACCAGATCTCAAATCCCTCCACTTTCTCTTCCAAAACTCCGACGCCCGACAACGAGTTTACCATCCAAAACTCCGACAACGGTATGTTTTATTTGAATATGTCTCATTTTTTAAATGCATTGTCTTCTTAGTTGGGTGTAAAAGAAGTACCAGCAGATGTACCTGAGGATCCTTTTCGAGAAGTTGGAATTCAGCATATTCAGGATTATTGACACCATTAATGGAGTTTAGGGCATCAGTATAAGTGGAAGAATAATCACTCTTCTGAGGTTTTGTGTGGCGTTTTGGTGCCAAAGCATCAAAATGGTCTCTGAAATTACATTAATCACTATTTAGTTTATTGATCGACGGCTCTGATTTCTCCAGCCATGACGATGCTGACTCCTCAATCGTTGGATGTAATTCCTCGCCCATTTTTTGCACGGTCGGTGAAGAGCCACAAGCATCACGGTTCACATGGGCGATTGATAATTTTTCTCGCTTAAATGTCAAGAAGCTATATTCGGATGTCTTTACAATTGGTGGTTATAAATGGTAATGTAAAGCTGTAAGTTTATTTCCTTTTCTTATCTACATTGACTCGTGTGGTTAAAGGAATTAACCATGTTAGTTTGAAATTAAGAGAGCACCTTTTTATTGTTACCTTGTGTTAAAAAAAAAACTTGTTTATATTGCTTTACAGCCTTGAAGAGCATGACTAATTGCATTTTGGCTTTTGTTGGTTTGCACAGGCGGGTGCTTATTTTTCCCAAAGGAAACAATGTGGACTATTTGTCTATGTATTTAGATGTGGAAGATTCAGCTGCCTTGCCATATGGTTGGAATAGATATGCACAGTTTAGCTTGGCCTTGACTATCCGAAAGGGAAAAGGGAAATCGGAAGATAAGGGAAAGGGAAAGCGAATAGAATAGTTTGTTTGTTTGTTTATGTTTGCGAAACTTATGTAATTGGTTAGTTTGTTTATGGTATTCCAAGAATCAATTCTGACTTTATTCAATGGAACTGAGTAAAAATGGCAAAAATTGATCTGGGATTCGTACTGTTAATCAGGCACTGATTGTGCCAGTTAAGTAAATTCTTTTGCAACTCCATGTTGAGAAAGCAGGTCAAGCTTAAAGGTTTACACCAAGTAAATAAGTTCTAAAATCTGCTTAAGAACTTATTACTCAAAGAACTGATTAAGACCACAAACTTTTGTGTCAACTTTGACAAAAAAAAAAAAAAGTCCGCTTAATAGCATTTGAGAAAGGACTAAAATTCACCTGTTGATTTTTTTTGTTTTCCTAGCTCCATCTAAAACAGTGGACTCATTATAAAAGTAGATTGCACTATAAAAACTCTAGAGCTAATACAAAGTTCCAAAGGCAGCCTTACTTACAAAAAATCATCGAAAGGCTACATCAGATACAAAAAATCACCTACTTCCAAAGGCTACTTCACATGCAAAAAATCATCTACAAAGTCCCACAGGCTGATTCAAGAGCTAAAAGTCATATACTTGAGGCTGCTTGAAGTACAAAAAATAATACAACCTCTCACAAACTCCTTGAACCACAAAAAATGCAACTACCACTACCAATTTATAAACTTGACATTACTTCAATGCTCCCTTGCGTTCCAACGGGTTGCGGTGCTTGAGAAGATGAGACGTTATAAACTTGAGCCTCTTGAATCTTTACAGTGTTTGTAACGTCGTCTTTCAACGTACTACACGTATTCAACATTGTGGACTTCATAGGTACCTATAGATGATGCATTTTTATAAAAGCATTAAATTCGTATCAAATAAATATTGAACCAAAACAAAAAATCAAAATGATGATGAAATATACACACCATCTTACGATCTTCGATTTCTTTGAACTCATCTCCAACGAACTTTTTTTGCGAAGTTTTTTCGGCGCACCTTTACTTTTTGTACAGTGTGGATCCAAAATGTTTACGTTTTCAATGTTTCCCAATTCATTCATATGCGCCCCCATGATATTAAATTTCGATTTAGCAAGTTCGTTTGTTTGGGACTCAATCCATCCCAACAACTGTTTTGACCGTTCTTCATTTTTCACTACCAAGTCTGCCATCTTCGTAAAAGTAACACACAACTGCTCATATCTCAACTGTTCAGCAGTACTAACCAAACCATCGTACGAGGTTGGGGCCCGCATGTATGGTCTGCTGACATCCCGCCTCCATCTCCTCAAGACATACTTATCGGGCAGCATGTAAACATCATTCCGGATTAAAACTGATATTGCATGTCTACAAATAATACCTCGAAATTCAAACAAATGACAATTGCACTCAATCTCGCACATATCTCTACGAAAACAAACTGTGAAAACTTTTTTATTTATTCCTTCATTGCATATGATATCCTCACGGACCGTGTACTTCGTCATCCCGCAAAAGTCTTCTGAAGATAGTACTTCACAATAAACCTTTCCAGTAAATTCTTGTTGGAACTCCTTGAATTTTGTTTGTGTGTACACTTCCTGGAACTGCCTCTCCATATCATACTTCGTAGCACAATGAATCATTTGCGAGAATGATTTAAAATCAGCTTGAAATTCTTTCTCAAATTTACTTCTCAATGCACGCTCGTATTGCTCTACAAAAAGCTTTAAAGATGTTTTTGAATGCACATAGCCGTCAAAAAAAGCATTCATGCTCTCACTCCGTTGGGTGGTCGACATGCCAGCCCAGAATGTGTTTTTCAAATAGCATGGCACCCAACGACTTCTCTCATTATAAATGCCAGTCAACCAATCATGGTCTTGCAACTCAAAATGTTCAACCATGTTCAACCAACCTTCCTCAAATTCTTTGCAACCTAGCGTGTCATACACTAACCGATGTATAGCATAAAGTATTGACCCTTTTTCAATATGATAGCCGAACTTCTCAGGCAACTTTTTCAAAATATGCCACAAGCACCATCTATGCCTAGTTCTAGGGAACACTATTTGAATGGCATTTTGCATAGCTCGATCTTGATCTGTAATAATTCCATTGGGAGCGAGACCATACATGCACTCAAGCCATGTCTGAAATACCCAAACAAATGTATTTGTATCTTCGTTCGATACTAGAGCACATCCAAATAAAGTTGACTGTCCATGGTGATTAACCCCTACAAAAGGAGTGAAAGGCATATCGTACTTGTTCGTGAGGTACGTGGTGTCAAAAGTGATGACATCACCAAATTCCTTATATGCTTCTCTACATCGATTATCTGCCCAAAACACATTTCTCAAGCGACACTTTTCATCCAAGTCCATACAGAAATAAAAACCTGGACTACGTGCTTGCATTTTCGAGAAGTAAGCTTGTATTGCAACAGCGTCCCCTTCCCCGAGTCTTAAACGCCGCACTTTGTCGATGAAATTTCGGCAATCTTTCTCAACACATGTCATATACTCAAATCCACCTGCCTCCACTACAGCTGAGTTATAGCTTTTATGCACGGGTATTCCTGCTATATCATTTACCTCAAGCCGTCTTTTAATGCGTTCACAAACTTGGCGATTACATCTATACAACCTAGATTTAGATGGGCTTGTTTTATGGTTATGCTCCAAATGAACAACGTTTATACGCCATATTCCACAAACATCAGAACACGCAGTCAACCTAGCTTTACACCCTGTTTGAATTGTAGGTGTCGGCTTAAGAGATGTACTATTCTTACGGTTTCGCCGACCTTCTCGACTACAAGTAAAACTCACATATCGTATGATCCCGTCATCTCCCTTTGTTGAGTTTCTTTTTCTAACAGGAAAACCTATTTGATAAGCATATCTCTTGTAGAATTCAAATACCTCGTTCTCATCCGCAAATTTCATACCAACTTCAGGCAAGATAATCTCATTTTGTGTTCCTAACATTTCCCCAGTCATACCATCGTCGCCCACAAGCTCAGAAGAGTTAACATCCGTTCCTGCAAGGATTAAGATTACACATTATCAGTAAATACTCGTCCACTATACGACATTCCAGACTGTTTTTCGGGAATGACTTGGACGCATTGACACATTTGAATTGCCCTGAACTTGATGATTTGAACCTCAACTCCTGTGGAAATTGACATCCAGGTAGATACTTTTAATGTTCTTGCAGCACAATCCAAAATACTGAAGTGTTTTCTTTTAACTCAAGTTCGATAATTTTATTTCATTCGACGCCAGAGAGATTACTACTCAATTGCCCCAATTTGGAAAGTGTGCACGTATTAAGTTGCCAAGAAAAGTTGGTCAAAACCATTCAGGTAAGTGGACAAACTAATCATTTATTAGCTTTAATTAATGTCCATTTTAATTATGTCCTACAACATTAGAATTATTTTTCTCCCCATAACTTCTGGAAATTTTTTCATTTATATGAGCACTAATGCTTATTTTCAGTAATACACATTTTCCCGCTTCAATCATAGATAAGCTTACTAAAAAATAGTTTACCATTTGAGCCGTCGTTGTCGCCGTCGCCGTCGCATTCAACTTGACCGGCGTCCATATCGGAGAAGGAGAAAATTTCATTGCTTATACCGTCCATTTCTTGTTAGCACCTAGGTCAGAAAGGAAGATTGAAAAGGTAGAAATGGAAGGAACAAGGATTTTGATTTTGATTTTGGGTTTTGCTTTGTTTCTCTTGTATTTGAGGAGAGAACATTGAAAAGGGGGGAAATGGAAGGAGAGAGGAAACGAGGGTTTTATTTCCATTTCTGTGGGTTTTTTTTTTTTACGCGAGTTATTGACTGACTGAAATTCAATTTCAAAATCTCGCCACCTCATCATTATGGACACAGCTATGTTCCTCTCTATGTACTCCCAGCATTATCCTTGAATGTAGACTTTTTCTTTATTTTACAATTCATTGTTTGGTCCTTGAACTTTAAAATGTTAGTATTTAGTCACTGAGTTCTATAATTTTTTTATCTAATTAGTCACTAAA